CTTGGTATATTTATTTTTTAATTTGTCAATTAGAGTTGTCTTGGGTATATTAAATACCTTAGAAGCTTTCCTAATTGACATATGACCTCCTTGAATGTCCTTTAAAGCATTGCTTAATGCTTCACTGGAATATTTTTGCCGTTTTTTATTATTCATCTTTTTTGATGTCTAAGAGTTCACTATCAATTCACTGATAACAACTAGTCAATTTTCAAATCAGTCACCAATATTTATCAATTCACGAATAGTAAATCAATAATCAACTTTCACTGATTCAATAGTCCACTCAAAATTCGTTTTTAGGACACTCAAAACTTTTGATTTAAATATGCTTCCGCGAATGTCATAGAGCAAATGATGAAATTTTTCTGCTCTACTTCAAGAAGATTTTTAAATTGTTTTTTAAGTAGTAGGGGATGGGAAAAATTTATAACATGCATTTTCATTGGTTGAAGAGATAACAAAAAAATGCACCGAAAAATTTCCCAAATACAGTCGTGGCTATTCATAGTAACGTAAAATTAAGAAACTAAGGAACGAAATGAAGAAAAAATTGTTTGCAGCAATAAACTTAATTTTTGGAAGACGCGTGGAAATTTCGCTTTATTAAATATATTACATGTAATGTTCATATAGAAAAACGCTTCTAGACATAGGCCGGTCGCTTTACGGCCTACTATAAACATCCGACCGCCCGGACAAACACTGTCTATTTTCAAAAAACAAAATTTTTTGTGTCAAGTTTAACAATAAATAGAAGCATCTTTCCTAGGTCGTAAATTGGCATACGGTTGCTTTATGCAATATAAAAATTAAAAATAGTCTAATTTTAGTATTGTTCTAACAAATATATGATTTTTTAATTTTTTTAAGTAACGTTCGAATTGCCCCTATACCGACCATTGGTCGTTATAAGGAAAAATCATGATTTTAATGATGCCTATTTCCGACCACAATATTTTATTAATTTTCAACTAAAAGAATTATCAGTTTCGAATAGTAAATTCTTTCTCAGTGACTTAATAGTAAATGAACCCAAAATATTCATAACATCAAGTATTAATAAATTATATATGAAATTATCGCATTTTCTTTTCGAGGTCCATTTTAAGAATTTCGACGATTGAATCTGTAGAAACTGGCTTTTCTTAACTTTAGTATTTTTTTTTAAATATAAAAAAAATAATTATCAGGATTTTTAGGGCAGGAAATAATAATTATATAATTAATATACGTATTTTATATAGAAAAATATATCTATAGACCTTTTTTAATTAGATATTTACGAATAAATTTAATGGTCGGCTTTAGGTACTAGGTCGGCAATAGCACACTTTACCTTATAGAGTTGTTCTTTCTCGATGCTCCTAATGGCACTGGGAAAACATCTTTAATTAACCGACTGCTTGCTAAAATTAGGAGTGGTACACCGATAATATTATTACATAATTTAAACCTACTTAAATTGTGTATTGGCACTAGACTTCAGGTGAAAACACTACGGAAAAACATAATCGAAGCGACCATTTTGACATGAAAGTATGAAGGCAAAAATTTTTTTTTCAATATTTACTGACTCACCCTGGATAAGGGTAATATAAGGATAAATAACATCAAAGTTAAATTGTTCTGAAACATAACAAGAACATAAAAATATTACGTCACATTGCTACGTTTATGAGTGGAAAATTGTAAGTTACATATGCCTCATATCTTATGAAACACGTGACTTTTAATTCTGTCACAGTGATATAAAATTTACAGAACATTACACTGTTCACATGTTTACTGAGTTAACGTAGTTTCTATAGTTTCAATTTGAGTTTTTTCAATGAGAAATTGTTATAAATAATAGATCATTATTTACAGACATGCATAGTCACAAATAACAATGTTTGATTAATTTTAACTCCATTTTTAAGCAATTGTATCATTCAATAAATAAAGACTTCTAATTGTTTCTTACAGATTACTATGGTTATGGAACAATATTGAATTTCTAAGAACAATGCACAATAAATTATTAAAATATTTTGCCAATATGTAACTAATTTCTGAAAAATATTAATTATCTGCTAACTAAATACTTTTTTTAATATTTCTAACAAACTACAATTGTTATCAGGAGACACGTTGACTTTAGTAGTGTCTCATGCGCCAAGTTTAAATAGCGGTGACGAAGGCACTACCGTGTCTCTAACTTGCTTGAATCATAGTCTATTGAGTTCATGCACTTTAAAATTGCAATTTCTTTATTGTAATGACTTAAACATATTATAAAAACTTCGGAAAACCTCTTTAATTTACTTCAGGAATAGATTAGGGATGCTATTGGCTTTCGATATTAATTATTTTAAATAATTAATAAATGGCCACGCCCCCACATACAAAATTCAAGAAAATACAGATTTATTCCTCTCAAATATACGATTTTTTTTATAAAGTTAGTACCATTACTGACAATGATAAATAATAGTATATCCTTATAAATATCAATTATTTAATAATAAATAAAGAGGACATTATGATCGAGATAATAGTATAATGGAAATTAATGATAAATTACTCGATACGTAATAAATACATGAAAGTAACATCAGTCTTTGGTTATTTATATATCATCAATGATTTTTTTTACTAACAAATGTTAATATCTCGCGAACGGTAAGAGATAGAGCAAAAACAATGAAACCATAGTACTTCTATATTTAAAAAATTGTCATCAATTATCAATTAAATAAACAATTCACTACAGATAGTGATTAATAAGGATTTAATCGTTTCGTTTATAATTAATTCAGCATTTTTATTCCAGTTTGAGATATAAAGAGTGCATAAGATCATTCTCTCACGTTTTATTTATATAAAATGATATTTTTATAAACGAATGTTGATATAACGAAAACGGTGAGAGACAAAACGAAAATAACGGTACTACTTTAAGAGTATTTCTACAAGCTACTTGTACTTTTTGCCTATTAGACTATGCCACAGAAAAGAGATAATATATAGAAGAACCATCCCAATTAGAGCTGTTGGACGGTAATTTTTACCTGCTGTTATATGGCTGGGGATACAAAGTTAATGCTAAAATGCCATATGTATCCTCAAGAAATCGTCCAACGGATTCCCATGCGGTGGTTTTTCTATATTATTTCTTTTCTCTGACTATGCTATTATATATATATATATATATGTATATTATATGTATATTATGTATATGTATATGTATATTATGTATATGTATATTATGTATATGTATATTATGTATATGTATATTATATGTATATATATATGTCTAGGTGTCGTACAAAAAAACGTAAAATCTTACCAAAAACAGCCCCACGGATTGTAAAAAATTGCGCGCCAAGTTCAAATGACGAGGACGATAATCTTTGTTCTTTAAATGCTATTTTCGTAATTATACGTAACTCGAAAGATTACAAAAAGTCCAGAAATAATTATACGCCAAGTATTGCATTTGGATAAAATCAATTATATTTATCAAAGTCAAATAAATTAATTTCATTGAAAACTGCTAAGTATTTTACAAATAAAAATCACAGATAATTGTTGATAATTACAAAAAGAAAAGAATGAACAAAAAAAACAAGAAAACATACAGGATATTGCATTAAAAGGTAATTATTTAGAATTGGGGCTCTAGGCAAAAATCGCTCTAAAAAATTTTTTATGCATTTGGGGTTATTTCTGAGGGTACAAATAGTGAATTTAAGGCGGGGGAGACATATTTTTTCCATTTTTCAGACATCACATGGGTGTTAAAAGGACAAATATTTTCAAAAATCACAAAAGTATTTATGCCCTTTAACCCCGCAACTTCCATCCTCTTTGTCACTTTATCATTCAAATTCAAGCTATACCTATAACTAAAAATCTTGTTTTTTCGATGTAACCTCATGAAACCTCATGTCTCCCCCACCTTCATTGTCTAATTGTACCTAAAAAAATAGTTTCCAGGTAGTGAAATATTTTTTGGAGCGATTTTAGCCTGGAGCTCCAATTCTAAATAATTACCTATTAAAAAATTGAACATAGAAAAATAAAAAATTTGATGCTTCAAAAACTTGGCGTGTTTCCTTTTACATTTAGTGCATATAGTGTTAATGGGTGTGAGTGTTGTTATTTCCCAAATATCTTTATGATTCCTGCTTGTTATTATTCGAAAGTTCACTAAATAAATTGTAACGACCGTGTGAATTCTACGCCAACGACGTTTCATTAATAATAAATACTATAATTAAATATTGTCACTAATAATCCATTTTTGAAGATCTACAGAACATCGTTACTTATCAATAATAAAAATAATTATAGGAATAGAAACTTAATATGGTAAAATGAATAACTTATTTTGAATGATGCTGTCATAATAAACTATTGATTAAAGGTACATGAACATATTTGTATGTGTATGAAGCAACATTAATACTGTGATTAGTCATCATTTAAATATTGTGAAATAATTTCGTTGCATAATATTTCAATTCAACCATCTCACAGATGATAGAAAAGCACAAAGTGGGCTGATAATATAATGAGAAAATAACATACGCGCAGATCAGGAAAAAATAAATCTGATGTCATGACCTATATTTAGCCACAACTTGATATATATTATAGAACATATGCTGGACTACATAGTTCTAGGATAGTGGTGAAACGGATATAGTCGTAAAAGGAGTGTTATAAAAATGGGCGTCACTCAAGGGATAAAAAGTTAATGATTAATTAATTATCCTCATTTTGCAAAGTAGAAATGCATTAATATTTTTAATTACTAAAACATAAAGTTATTAATTGTTTTTCGAATTAGAAAAAAGTATAATATTTTATAATTGCCAACTAAAAATCTAGAACATGGAGCGATTATGTACAGCAACTTGTTGCACATACTATAATAATACAGACAGATTTAAAAAAGTCATTATTACAATATCTTATAAAATATCATTTTCCCATACTTTAAAATATCTTACCAAGATCTTCTACAAGACGTAGCATAACTCCTCCTATGTGGAGTTCTCCTTTAACTCGAAGATTTCTTTCAACTTGAAGATCGGTAATATAAACTCGTAAGACCCAACTTCCATCAACTTCATGGCCATCTGAATACATCTTGGTTAATGTTAATAATAATTTTTTGTGAATAAAATTTTCTTCCTCAAAAATTAATGTTCGATTAAATTAGTGTTTTAGCAATAAATATTTTTAGAAAGCTCTTTTTCATACCAAAAACAGTATTTAACACTATTATAATATTTTCAGAATACCAGAACTAATTATTACATGAATCTAATGTCAAATGTGAGTGATATTATTCTATAATGGTCAATTCAATTTCATTAGATTCCACAAAAAACTGATTTTTTTCTAATGAGATAAGAGTAAATGAACACGAAATTAAAGTAAGGGTAACACACTCTGATTTATCGTCATTCACTATTTACACATATTTATCTGGTTTTACAGCCTTTTTGAGAACTAAGTATTCCAATACAATAATTCTATTCAGATTTTGAATCACTTTGAAGGCAAAAGTTATTAATTTAATTTTTTTATACACTTCAAATAATGAAAATAGTATAATCAAGCTTTCCTCGAATACGCAAATGACACTAATGCTTATATGGATAACTCTAATAACACGGTATAGTAAATGAAACTAAAGATTGACAACTCAACACAGTCATCACAGATGGCAGAATTCGTCACATTTGTGTATGTAGAGTCTCTTAAGATAGAGCCTGGCAAAATAGAGTCAGGCAGGACTAAAGTCCCTTGAGTTTTTATGGGACTTTAGGCAGCAATCGAGCAATATGGCATCATCTTGCCAGTCTCCATCTTGAAAGAATTCACATTTGTTATGACTGTACACTCGCGGCATCATTAATGCCTGGTGTATTCTTGAAGAGCAATTACCGACCGCAGGTGTTATTTTTTTTTATATTGAGTTTCTAATCTAGAATTTTTTAAGCTTGGGCTGAACTCGAAAAACTATAAAATTCGTGATCACATTTCAAATATGATGTTTTAATACATTAAAAATTTTTTGTTCGTATTAAAGGGGTACAAAGTTCCGTCATGATTAACAACAATTAGCAGAAATTCTATAAAAAAGAGTAATTAGTGATTTATTTTTTACGTCTTAAAATTAAAATGGCCATTCGAACACAGCAGTAGAAAGTTACGATTCATTCAATTTGCTGATTATCGTTATTCGTAACAAACCTTGGTATCTTTCTAATGAGAAAAAAAAAATATTTTACATACTAGAACATACGGAAGCCCGTAGAGCTCACCTCCGTTTTTCGAAAAGTGGCGCCACACAGTGACTTCCTTTAACAAAAAGTATAGAAAATAATGAAACTTGCTCCCTCTCGAGTAACGAGTGATAAGTGTAACCTCAAATTTTCCTCCAAAAGTGAGAAAAGTGAAATCTCCTCCACGAAATTGGAGATTCAAATCACATGGTAAAAGCGGAATTCTATTGTCATTATATTAGCTCCTATTATACCCAGTCAAAGAATGATATTCCGCCATAACAGTTAGAAAGTAGGAAAATCAGTTTTGTTATTATTGTCATTATATTAGCTCTTCTACTTTCATGATGAATACCCAAAAAATCTGTAATATAACTAATTTTCCCACTCGTTGCTCGAGAAGGAGCAAGTTTCTTTATTTTCTGTACTTTTTGTTGAAGGAAGTCACTGTGTGGCGCCACTTTCCGAAAAACGGAGGTGAGCTCTACGGGCTTCCGTTGCCACCCTCGCTTTCGGCTCGGGATGCAATTTTACACCCAGGCATGGAGAATGCACCCAGGTCAGAATATCCGACTTTGCTCCCTTGGTTAACAATGTACTATTTTATGACTCAAATATTATGTTCAAGAACGTCAGATAATTTTTTTTATAATAAAGAAAATACCGAGAATTTTTGTGATCAAGATTTATCACTAAAAATTTCTGGTAAAGTAAATGGCCATTTATTTTTTTTCTATGTAAATTTTTTTCCGATGTAATCAATGTAGTTTGAAAATTCGATATTATCATATAAAAAATATTGGTATTAATTTATTTAACATCAATTTGAAATGACTAATTTCACTAATTAAGGCAATGCAATAAGGATAAATTTAATGTAACATTGAAATCGGAATTATGCCATCTCTGCTACTTGAAATTAAGTTAATCTATTGCATGTCTTGAATCAAAATGAATCTTTCAAATTTAGTCTTATTAGTTTTACATTTGTCACCAGTAATGTAATTATAGTCGAACGGAGAAGAGAGTTCCTCAGTTGTTTCAATGTTTTCGGGCTCCCCACCACTAATTTCTTACCCTTTCTACCACGTTTTTCGCTACTGCGCAAGCGTACAAGAGCACATGAGGAACTCTCTTTTCAGTTCAACGTAAAACTAATATGATGAAGAAGATGAACTAAATCTGAATGAATTGACTCCAATACATTCAATCGGTTATATCGCATTAGATTTGAGCAGTATCGTTATACTTTTCTAATCAGATCTAATTTATTTGCTATTATTACAGGCCGCTATTTTTGAGACCAACATAGTTCGAACATTTTAAAAATCGTAAATCATTTAAAACATTTTAATAAATAAAAATTAGTTTATCAAATGTTTCTAATTAGGTATAATGTATTACGATAGTGAATTATTTTATTGAACGAAGCCCAACACCAGAATTGAGGACTTGACAAATATTTTTAATATCCCGAGAAAAAATAAAATAGATCTTCACAGATACACATTTTCGCCATTTTTTGGATCTAATTTAATCTACTCATATCTAAAAAACTAACAAAAATTTGATCTTAGTAAATTTATGTATATTTAGTGAGATCACTGTATATCTATACAAATTACTGTATGTCTATGAAGATCTTCATTGATCTCGATGATAAAAAAAATTAAATACATCTACAGAGATCACAAAAGATTTAAAGTAATCAAAGCAGATGGGCACAGAACAAAGTAGATCTAATTGTGCCAAAAAATAGATCGAAGTAGATCAATGTAGATCTATTTTATTTTTGCCCGGGATAACCAGAAAGTAAGAAAAACAAGAAAGTATAATAATTCTAACTTTAGTTATACTTCACATTTTATTAATAACATTATTTTCATCAATGTATTTCAACATCATTATCAAGTACAATAAATATCTTAAAGGCAATAGCTATTCAAATAATAAAATTGTACAAATTCATGATGAGAATATACGAATAAACTTCATGAAAATGTAAAGCTGCAAAAATAGATGTTTGTCTATCTCTTATCTTTTTATGTTAGTATATTTATTACTCTACACTAGTATTTTTGGTATGAAGCTGCCAAGTATCTTGATTTTGGAATATTTCAAATGATTTAATAAATAAATTCAACAATTATATTATTACTATATTCATCTCATTAATAAAAGAAGATCAAACAATAGAATCATGCATGTCATTATTTTTATTTATTTGTAATGTTATTAGCTTAAAAAGGTATTATTAAATAAACTTTTAAATTTCATGATTCATTTTACCAATAATTTAAATGTAAAATATCACACAATATAAAATAAATCTTTTTTCAATAAAATTAATGGCAATAGTCTTAAAAAATTTCTATTATTTAATTATTTTCAGGCCAAATTCAATAATGACAATAAATGAAGAAATTTTTCAACAACGTAAAGGCTTTGAAAGGATCAATACAATATATATTAAAAAACAGTAGTCATTAAAAATATCACAACTTACATAATATACAATGCACGAGTTGCTGGCAATAGTTTTTTTTAAGTGAATGGATTACTTCGTCTTTTAACTGAATTGAGTCGTTTTTCAGGTTCACGAATAACTTCAAACGGTGTAATAGCAATACTATTGAGAGGACTTTCATCATTTTCATCACTAGGAAAATCTTCAAAACTCATGTTACTGAAACCAGCAGTAACAACAGAATTTTTTTTAATTTTTGGCGATTTTTTACATATTGTATTCTTAGATTTATGAGACATTCTAATGATAGGTAATGCATCTATAGGTTCTTTTATATTCTCATTAATAAGATGATATTTCGATTTATTGCATTTAATTTTGTCTCTTTTCTGTTTTAATAAGTGATCAGTTATCATTAGAGGCTGAAGTGATATTGGTGGAAAATTATTTGAAGATGCATTGAATGGAGTGATATCATTCATTGAATGATCTGTAGTTTGAAGAATATTTTGAATTTCCTGATAACGAGGCGGCTCTAATACTTGGATGATAGATGACGGAAGTTGATTAGAATATAAAGAATGAGTATCGACAGAAAGTATTGAGTTCAAAGCACTATTGACAAAAGTAGGTGATTGAGATAATGGTAATGATGTAGGTCGTTGATTTTTACGTTGATTAATACGTAATGCTGTAAATTCTTCGAAAGGAATTGATCCAAAAAGATCTTTGGAGGTATCATCAGCCGTATTATTGAGACAAGTACTAGTTTGATCATTATATTTAGTTGTAGTTATATTAGTATAGTTATTATTCGATGTTTCAAATAATTGAAAAATACCAGAATCACCAGAATGTAACGAATGTTCATGACGAAACGATGACATTGGTGTTTCTATTTCTTTTTTAAGATTTGTATTTTCAAATGGAACTTTAATAGAGGTATGTGGCGATTGCGATCCAAAGATATCTTTATTTTCCGATGTAATTTCACTATCGAATGCATCATGTGCTGTAGAATTAAATTTATAATTGTTATCTATAAATTTAAAAGAATCTTTTGATATATCTGTTAAGTATAGGTGTTTACTTATTTTTGTTACAGAAGAATCAGACGTTAATTTATTAATATGAATCTGTGACGAAATATCAGATATATTTGACGATGTAGATCTTCTTGTTGAACTATCATTACCTTCATTACTTTTTCGAGAGTTTAGAGATTTAATGAAGGGTGCTAAAGCGAAAACATCATCATCAGTTTGATTGACATCATTCTTCGTTAATTTTACGTTTTCGACTTCATCTGACAAACTACCATTTTTCAATAAAATAGATTTCGATTCATATTGAAGTCCTATAAATGGATCTTCAAAGAAAGATTGTAATTTTAATTCAGGATCCAATTCGTCATCGAAAAGAAGTGGTTTTTCTCCGTACTGGTGACCTACAAGAGGATCTGAATAAATTTTCAATAGATTGGAATTTTGATTTTTATGTTTTTCAATTCTTTTGACTTTTTCATCATCTTCATATGTACTAACTGATTCACATTCAGCATGATAAGCAGAGCTACTACAGGTTTTAATACTTTCTGAAATAGTTTCATCAATTTTATAACATTCATTTCGATCAGGATTACACTCTTCATCATTCATTGCTTTTAAATCACTTGCTGAGCCGATTGAATCATCCGATGTATACTCTACAGAAGCTTCATTTAAATTTTGTTGAGTTTCCTTTTTTTTCTTGATTAAAACTGACTTTACACGTCTACGCTTTTTTTTTGTACGTTCATTTTTATAAATTATCTCTTTATCACTATCACTTGATCCATCATCAGCATTATATGTAAGTTTCTCATATCTTGAACGATCTTCAATTGGGACACCAAAAAAATCTGGAGACGTATTACATTTAACTAAAAGTGATGTATCATCATTACTAGTTGAAAGTTTTATATTAGGATTCCAATGAACCATGATAAATTTTCCACCTACTGTATCCCTTGGCCCTGAAAAAAAAAATACTTTCAATATTTTACATCAAAAAAAAATTAAAAAAAAGATTCCGATGTAAAAAAATTATCAAGTTAGTATGTGTGAAGTTTGTAAGATTTAGAATACTATTAAATTTGAAAAACTTAAAATTTTAATAAATAAAATATATGTTAGTGAAAATTTGTTCGAGTTATACATAAAGAAGATTGTCTTGTATATTAAAACTAAAAATACTTACCAAAAAAATGATATCCTATTAAATATAAAATACAATGTCTTGTTGTTATTAAGAATTGAATTTTTCATTTGAAGAATAAATGACATAGTTATTATTAAAGAGTGGTAAAATATAAATTAAAATATTTAAGTTAAAGCAAGAACGATTTTGATATACATATTATGTTATCCTATATAATGATAAAATATATAAAATTTTATCTGATTAGGGCTGTTACAAACAATACTATTATAAAAATTTGTTTTTATATTTGAATATAATTATTTAAAAACGGAATCAGTTAAAATTGTTATAAAAAAGTATCTATGAAAAATGAATGAAACGTAGTATACACCCCGACATCGCTTAGTCTGGAACAGTCCTGATCAGATTTTGGGAGTTAAAAAAAAAATGTAAAAACATAGCAATATCTTCTTTATAATAAAAATTAATATATGGCTCTTTTATATTGAGTTATACGAGAAATTAATGATTTAATATTGAAGAAATTACTGCGTTTGTGATTTTTAAATGTTTTGATGAAATAAAATGTTGTATGCTAATATACACGTGTATTATGCTGATTAGCTAAGGTGCAACAATAATTATAAAAAAGATTCAAGTTCTACTGATATTAATTAAATTTATTAACAGTTTTTTCATTAAAATAAATTGGATATAATATATAAAATAATATAATACAATATACAAAAAGAAAATGTAATTATCATTATATGTAGTTCTTACATTTTTTACAATTATATATGCATATTTATACTCATCATAAGCTTCTTCAAAATTACATTTTTTTTAAATCAAAAAATTACGTGTAACTTTTTTTACTTTTTATAATAAAGTAGATATAACTGGATAATATAACAATAAAAAATAATTATAAGATTATATTTACATCACAAATAATGTCCGGATATATTTTTGTGGCCTCCCAAACTCATTAGGGTGTTCCAGACAACGAATACGCAAATGAATCTATAACTAACAATTTAAGAAAAATTTTTTGCTAACTTAACACTTTTCTGTTTAGTGATCTTGTCAATCGAATAATTTATATAGTTCAAGTAATACTGCTCTTACTATATTTGATTAATGCGATATTATTAGCAATGTTGTATTTTATGTACGGTTCTATCATCCAATCACAAAAGCTTCAAATTGGAACTAGACACTGCAATTTTTAACATATTTTGTTCTATATACATATTTATCAATATATATATTTGTATTTTTACATTTATTACGTACGAAAAAATTTCTTACTACTCATTTCGCTTAATGTATTTCACATTTGTCTTAAATATTTGTTGAAAACGTAATTTTATAGTTTACTTTTGCAATTTAAATTTTGATATTAACCATAATTTTATAAATATTTTTAATTATATGTAGAATACCATATCAAAATGGAGAAAAATTATTTTATATTGAAATAATAATCTAATGAAATGACATTTGAAAATATCTTTTTACTGAATTACCGTGATAATATGTTATATTTATGTTATCAACCTTATATTTTTTTATGTTACATATTTATGGTACGCAAACGGAATCATAAATAAAGTTAAATTGGCCCATTTAAAATATTTAAAAAAATATCACGAATTGTTTGAAGATTATTTCATATGAGTGTAAAAAATTCTAAATAAATTTTTCAACATAATAATATGTAGCACGTAATGATTTATAATAAATAAAGTACATGAATATTTGCAAAAAAAATTATACATTAATATAAAGGAATAAAATAGCCTAATGTTGAGGATATTTTGTAAAATAAACAATTATTAATCATATAAAATTTTCGAGAACATATAATAACTCATTTTCTATTATTTTTAGCATTAGATAAATGATTCATTTTCAAATGTAAAAAAAAGAAGTTTCTGTAAAAACTTCGTATAACACTATAATATCATGAGTAAGACAGCAAAGCCGACTAGAAGTAATACACTGAATATTTTTCAATTTAAGGTGCCCCAACTGGTGATAGATTTACAAAAATGAAATATTACATCATATAATTATTTTTTATCATAAATAAGTAAAGTTTCAAGAAACTGTACAAGAAAATTATTGATTTAATTTAATAGATTATTAATCTAAAAAAAAAAGGAATTAAAAAAAAATTTCCTATTTCAATTATAATTTTAATATTTATCCATAATTACAGCACAAAATTTTAATGCAATTTTATATATTCACACCAATATCCAATCAAGGCATCTTAATTATAAAACTAATTTGTAAATAGGTCATTAAGTAAAGAAAAAATCATCATCTTTATAAATAATTCTCTTTGGCAAAAAAATAAGGATCACCTGAATAAACATGACACTGATAGTATACATAAAATGATCTATTTTATATTTGACAATCAATATTTTATCTATTCATATTTTTAATAGATTTAATGGAGTAATATCAATAAATTGAATTTTTATTATTAATTCATTCAACTTTTAATCTCATTTTTGAGTTTTTCCAGGGCGAAAAATAACTTTATTTCAAATATGAAAAAAATCTCTCTATCAACTTACTGATTTATTGACTAGAATAAAACTCAAATTGAGTTTTACAAGAATCCCGAGACCACTATAAGGTTCAACTCTGAGTTTAAGTTAATCTCTTATTTATCATTTACCTCTTTAAGGTCAAAATTTTCTATACTTATGATACAATGTTTTTAAACATAATTTAAACTTTACCTTGACTTTATTAAACCTAAAATTAAAGTCAATAGTAAAATAAAGATACATATTTTATTATTGTTTTCAAATATTAATTTAAGATATAATATTAATTTATGTTTTAATGTAAAATACGTCATTTTTTAATTTTTCTTTATTAAATTATCGATAAATACTATTGCTTTTTAATAAAAATTTTCTTCGAGATTGCGGAAAAATTATTAGTTAATTTTTTAAAATAATTTGCAGTGTGTAAGTTTTCAAAATTCAATAAAAAAAAAGTGAAAAATAACCCTATCTCATATTCTACCAATGTATGAGGCAGCATTTTTTAATTTGATTTTTTCACTACAATGATCGATTATTTAATTTTTCTTTTTCTTTTAATTATTTACAATGATTTCGAGAACGTCATACTTATAAATTGTGATTTCTAGACTTTTCTCAAATGATAAAACTATCTTGATAGTAGAATTCGACTTTACTTTTTAATTCAAACAAAACTACAGGTTTAGTAACACGAAAATACGTTAAATTTCAACAATAAATGTTTAGTGTTAAAAAAATAAGAACAAACAAATAAATATTTAATTTCATTAATAATCGTAGTAAATTTATAAAATTAACACTGATGATAATTTCATATATATATATATATATATATATATATATATATAGTCGATAAAAAATAAATAAGTTGGATTTGAGAAAAATATGACGTTGAATAGACCTTTCGTATTAATAGAAATGATATTTTGATTTACTCAAAGTTGAACACTAATTTGAGCGTATAATTTGAATTACCATCTAATTCTAATGAGATTTCAATACTCTTTTTGTTTTTATATAGAACGAATATACAAAGTGTAGTTAAGATAATCAATAATACCTAACTAGGTAATTTACAATAAATAGATTTTTCATTAAGACTTGAAGGATTTTATCCGATTGAAAAAAAATTATAAATTCTTTAATATGTATAAAAAGGCAGAATAGCCCATTTAAATTCAAAATGATAATTATTATCTAATAGATTTATATCCGTATGAAAATAAAGGTCAAAATATATTTTAAATGTCAACTCAATCTTAATCACAAAAGTCTCCAATAAAATTAATAAATTTTAGTTTAAAATTTAAACATAATATAATTAGAAATAATTTTCAATCAATTGAGGTTTAAATTAAATTTAAATCGAAAATTTTATGTATTGTTTAATTGTAACGTAATCTTGCTACTTTTTACTCATAATTTAAAATCTAAACTAAAATTATTTTATTGCCTTGGATTTTTAAGAAAAGAAATAATTAAATTTTAATTTATTAAAGAGTATTGAAATATTGTTTCAATAGAATTATATAATAAGATAGAAGTGATGTAATTCACTTAATCTCAATTGTATGGATAAAAATTTTTCAGAATTTTTAATAATTTAATGACAAAAGAATTCTAGTTAATGTAGAACTCGAAAGAATTAGAAAAAAACTACTTTTTTAATCTTAAATTTCAATAAGACTATTTACTTTGTTTATTCGAAAAAGATTTAAGAACAGCAAATAAATTCGGTTAGTATTTTTCCCTTTTCAAAGAGAGGAAGAAAGTGAAAATAGAATATACAACGAAGTAAGATTATCAAGCATTACCTCCAGCAACTGCAGCAGTTTTGGGTCCAAGCTTCGATTTTTTACTCGCTAAATTAAATATATTTAATAAGATTTTCTGATATACAAAAGATAAAAATATAATTGAATAATAATACAAAACTTACTGGGTAATGAAAAAGGAGCTGATTCAAAAGGATCTTCCGGTAACTCGGTACAAGTCATGACTAAACTCTCACGACTTTTGACACCACCGATGCTGCTATTGCTACCTCTTCGAATTTTATCAAATTCAGCGCCAAAAATATGGTCTTCAGTTAATTGATTAAATGGCTGAGTGTCTTCAAAAGGATTCCAAGTTGCTACATCTGTACTTAGTGATCGATTTTCTACGCTTGAAATACTAGAAAGTTTACCCTAACACGAATAAATTTCAATTAAAAATATGTTCATTCATTATTAGATATAAGAATATATAAAATCAAATAGTGATGAACATGAAAAGTATGAATAAATTAAACTTAAAAAATCTACGGAAAAGAATTCATAGATAAAAATTTAAATTTCAACTAAAAATCAATAATAAATTACATTTAGTAACTTACATTGATTCCGGTAGTTTCATTTTAATTATTAGACAATATGTCATTAATTACAATAAAATAAAGAAAAAAAAATGAATATATAAATATTTACTTACAATACGTACATGTGAAGCACTAGTACCAATACATGATTGTTTATCTGGCTTTATGTCAGGTGGTGTTATTTCTCCAGAATGTGGTCTTACTGATGTATCATAGGGTGCTAAAAATTGTGATGTTTCATCAGCAAATACCCTGTAATTTAATGATATTTTAACGACATATTAAAGTATGATAAAATTATTTTGAAATTCTTTCAAGTTCTATTCAAATAATTTCAACAAATAAATTTATATACTTATTAAAAGCACTAGTATCACTAAAATTCCTTCTATGCCTTGATGATGACATAGTAGGGCTATCTGGTGATGAAGCATTTACGTTGATATTTTGACTTAAACTTTCTGGTTTATTCGTTTGTTTCGGTGTACTGAGCGAAGGAACAGTTGACGTCATTTTATTTTGGGGTATAGACATATTTAACTTAGAAGATAATTGTGTGGGTGGAATAAGTATTAAATTAGAATTGGTACAGGTTGGAGTTGTTAAAACTTTCGTTGATCCTGATTTTCCTGGACACGAATATTTATTAGAAAGTGGCATTGATCGTGAATCATCTTTAAAGGGATCTGGATATCCTAAAAGAATTTATACATAGTAATAATTGTTGATATATTTAATCATGTACTATATTATCAAAAATACTATTTGTCTAATAATAAATATTACCCGATGGTGGAAACAAAGCTGCTAGATTCTCATCAATAACATCTGATGAAGTTGATTTTGTTTCATGTTGTTTTACTTCGTAATAGTAATTATTTTTATCTTGAACTGTAATAGGTGATTGCTGAGACAAACATGTGTGACTATTAAGCATCGGACTTTGGGATTGTCCAAATGGAGAAGTTTGAGTAGGCACAAAAGGAACACTTTGATTCGGAGAAGAAATGTGTGATGACGTTTGAGGGAATGATGATTGCACTGAAATTTGTACGGGTTGATTGTTTGAAATTGAAGATGTATTTTGTATACCCGGTGTCAGGTATTGTTGTAATGAGGTATTGATAGTAGAAATTGGTGGTTGATTAGCTTGTCCATATGATAAAGAACTTGGCAAAATATTCTGTGATTGTATTTGATTTCCTTGACCAGATATTTGACTGACTATTTGGCCACTTAAGCTTATCGGTCCTGTACTGACACCTTGGCCTTTTGGTCTTTGTCTAGGAGTAACTGAAGTACCTTCAACAGTATTTACTGGATTTGATTTATAGATTTTAATTGATGATGAACGCTTTATACATTCTGACTCTACGAAAGCAATCGGTAAGGAATCTAATGAAGGCGTAGGAACTTTCTATAATTTAAATAAAAATTGATAAAATATTTAGGGCACTGAAAAATGAAAAAAAATGTAAAAATATTCTTAGCTACTGAGATGTAAATATTAATGTTTAAGATACTTTTATTGATATAAAAAAAAGTCTAAAGAACTTTGAAATTTTAAATGTTTTTAAGTTTAATGTTAATATTTAATTTATCAAACCGATAATAATGAATTGAGAATGAATTGTTTTCATCAGTAGTAAACAGATGAAATAGTGTCTACAATTCTTTGTAGTTTTTCAATTTCTTGACATTAAAAATTTTATAAAAACTTAGAAAAATATTTTTTGAATTGCTTAACCACTATATCCTGTAATGAAAAGTACAATAATTGATCATATTGTTGAAAAATAATTATTTAAACTTAAATTGAAATAATTGAATGTTAAATATTATATTTTTAAATATGCATCAATGTGAAAACTTTTAAATGAATTTAAGTGAGTTTTTTTAAGTGCCCCTAAGTAAACTGCATCCATACACAATAAAAGTACTTTACGTTTATTGATTGTAAATTAATAATTCTTTATTTTTTAAATGTAAAAAACTTGAATAAATATAACTTCAATAGCTAAGAATAATTGACATACTGATAAAATAAATCTGTAAAACTTACATTTAAATTTTGTACTGGACATTCTTTTCCATATAATTGGAATGCAATTGTTGATACTTGAAAAATATCGGGTCGTAAATCTGGATCTGGTTCTAACATATATCTTATTAAATTATGTAATACTTTGCTATACCTGTAATGATAAATAGTAAATATTATTTTCATATTTATAATAGTAAAAATAAAGTACCTGGAGTTTTCCGGAATATTAAAGTTTCCTGATTGGATTGCTAATGTACTCTCTCCAAATGGCAGTGTAAAAAAACATAATTTATATAATAAACAACCTAATGCCTGTATAAATAATATAATAAAAGATGTAACTAAATGTTCAGATGATATTAAAATGAATTGAAATTGTTATCAACTACCCAAATGTCGGCTTTAGTAGTAATTGCTTTTCCACAATACATGTCAACCATTTCTGGAGCTCTGTAGCTTAAAGTAGTATATTTTTTTATTTCGTCTTCTACTATAGTCACACCATGAATCGTAGGATTTAATACTTTAGCCGTAGCTGATCCAAAATCACAAAGAACATACTGTCCCGAATCAGCACATAATATATTTTCCACCTGAATTAAATAAATTTTTAATAATAAATTTTACAAACAATAAGAAAACTATAGTTTTTGTTATTAATTACTTTTAAGTCTCTATGAATAATTGGAGTTTGACAATGATGTAAACGGGATACAGCTTCACAAATATCACAAAATATTTGTAATACTTCCAACTCTGTAAAACCAGTTTGTAACCTACAAGAATATAGTAATTTTTATAATCTATTACACATTTTATTATGTTATTGAAGTTTACCTATTGTTCATCATTTGAAGGACATGTGATTTACAGTAGGGCATAAGAAGTAAAAGCTCATGGACCCCACCACCAGTATGAGTGATACTACTATCTATATATCCAATTATGTTTTTATGTCCACTCAGGTTACTCTATAAATATGAAAAAGTTTATCGAATTATTTCATCTGTTATTAAATATATATGTATGATATGAATATATGAATATATATATATATATTTATACATGTATTAAATATAACTATACTACTTACTGCAATTTGGATTTCCCTTTTACACACATTAAGATCATGTTCATTATTAACATACATACGTTTGAGAGCGTATCTGCTATTTGATGCCTTAACCAAAAATACAATGGCAAATCCTCCTACCAATAAACGAAGATATTTTAATCAACAAAAATCGAATAATTTTTGAGAGTAAAACAAATTACTTATAAAATTGATTTAAAAGAGAATTAATAACGAAATTAGTATATAATTGAGCGTACAAGGCAAAATTATTAATAAATCAAGAAATAAACAATAAAATTTTCAATTAAAACTGCAATTGTAATAATTTAGTTAATGATGATTGAAATAAATGAATACGTTTCATTTTCAATTATATTACCTTCAGCAAGGACTTCTTCAACAGTAACCGTGTATCGACCAACTACAAAAATTTTACCCAAATAGCTGTTAGGTTCCTTTGATGTATTTTCAATTTTAGAAAAAAGTTTCCTCATGTTGGCACTTGGTCGATCTGACCGATAATATACTGGATTGACATAAGGCCTCTTATGGCCGGTTATCTGGAGTACAACTACGTAAGAAAGATGTGTAATAATATAGTATTATTTTTAATCATTAACTTTGCACTTAAAAATTTTAATTTCAAATAATTTTTATAATATTCAGTATTTATTTTGATTAATTAGTAAGTTTGTTGTATTTTTTCAAAATTATAGCAATGAATTTTTTTATAACTAATTAACGTTTTTCCTTTATCCAGCCGACATGTTTTGCCGACATAGACTATCTCTTTACTGTCAACGCATGCGCAAATAAAAACATCTATTTTCTATTACTAGCACATCATGTGCGCGCTTCACGCGCTCTTTCGTTCATGTCAGTAAGTATAATGTGTGGCAACCTGCGTCGGCAAGCCGCAGCGTCACAAGCGGTCAAGCCGGGAACCCGAAGACTGGATAATTTAATTCAACAGTTGGCAAGTGCTCTACACAAAATTCCATAGCTGTAGTGGTTAAATACCGATGTTTAGTCTGCGCATAAACATAGCAATAGTTCTTGTATAATTTCGCCGTCCCGATCGCTTGCCCGGGCCTCAATTGCTTCAATGCTTTCGGGCTCCCCACCACTGATTTTTCACCCCTTCTACCATGTTTTTTACTACTGCGCAAGCGTACAAGAACACATGAAGAACACTGAGGAACGCTCTTCTCAGTCCGACTATACACACATATGTAGTCGCACACTGAAAGAGTGGATTCGGCGGCCTTGGAGGTTATACAGGGAAATTATTTTTGCGCATGCGCACAAATTATTTCTGAGCTTGTTCACAACTTAAAATAATTAATTTCTCATATAATATAATTTTTTGTATAACAATTTTTAATAAATAATAGCTTAGAATAACTTGAAAAAGAATAAAAAAAATGTAATAAACATAATAACTTGAAACAAAATTTCTCGTATAACCTTCAAGTTTTCTCTTTCAGTGTTTCAACTATATGTATTGTTTTTAAAGTGAAACTTATTTTGCCATTTGATTCTAGTTAAAATTTTGTGAAATAAAAGTTTTGTACTTGAATATTTATGAGAATTGATTCAAATAAGACAAATAGCGGAAATTTTATCAAATTTGAGAAACGTTTACATGGGTGAAAAAAAATTAATAATTTAATATAATATTAATATTATAGATTTTGAATTCAACGAATATTTAATTACTTCACTTATTTTAATAAAGAATGTTGTTCAACTTATATAATAATTACGAATTTCTAAGGTTTAAAACTTGCAATATTATAGATTAAACGATGATATTTCAAAAATAATAATAATTCAATATTTGAAAATTTCAATAACACATAATATTAAACATAAATACGTATGAGAACATCTATACGAAACATAAATTTATTTATAAATTTTACAAAATGGAAGAATTCGATGATAATCATGATGTGCTAGAAGATATAAAAGCTCTTGAAATAGTATTAACTCAAGACAATACTTATAATGAAATTCATAAAAGTAACGATTTAGCAGAATCAAATTATTCTACTGTAGAATTTACGGAATTCACACTAGCATCATCATCAAAACATTCATTATTGTTGAAACCATTTCATGATCAATCTCAAAAATCTGTTAATATTATCAGCGATATTTATAAAAGTAACACAAGTCTTATAAACTCATTTAAATTAGCAATAGGAATGGTTTCAATGAAACTTGAAGAATGCATTAAACGACAAAAAGAAGTTGATTATCAGATACAAGCAATTTCAAAAAGAGGTAAAGCCAACTGGAAAGTAAATTATATTCATGCTGGAATGCCGTACTTTAAAGATGAAAAATTTTTTCCTTCACCGATGAATGAAGACACTAAACAAAAGCAATTGAATAATGAACTTTCAATTGTTCATTTGCGTGGACCAACTCGATGGACTACAAAAGATCGAAATCTTGTTAAAATTGCAGTTCGAGCTCAAGCTGCTAATGAAGCTTTCGATAAAATGATTAAAAAAACAAAAGAAAATATAAATTATAATAATGAAGATAATGAATGTATACCACCAAAAGATTTACTTGCTATGGTTGGGCCTCTTGGTTCTAAAGAATTCGATTGGATGAAGATATCTGCAATTGATTTGAAAGGTAGACATACTCCAAATGAATGTCGCGCAATATGGAATATACTTTTACATCCTGAAATTAATAGTTCTAAATGGTCAAGGGATGAGGATACTATGTTAAAAATTCAAGCTAAATTTCATAATTGCCTAGATTGGGATAGAATATCAAAAGAATTATACAGTAACCGGAGTGCGTATGTGAGCTTTATAAGATATAATACGTTGTTTGGTACTGCATATACTGATGTTCCATGGACGGCACCTGAAAATAATTTTCTCACAACATGTATTGAAGAACAAAAATTTGGTGACTTGATACCTTGGAGTTGCATCAGTATTTATCTTAATGATCGAACTAAAAATCAAATATATTCACATTGGAAATATAATTTAGATCCATCTCTTAAAAAAGGCCGATTCAACAGTGATGAAGATCAACTATTGTTAGATAGTGTTTCGGAATTTGGAACAAATTTTCCGAAAATTTCAGCAGAAGTAATGCCTTATAGAACTAGTGTACAATTAAGTGGACGGTTTCGATTGTTAATGTTAAAAACTAATAAATTGTATAATTCTTGGACAATATCAGATGATAGAAAATTACTTCAACTTTATGAAGAATTTGGAGCTCAGTGGAGCATGATAGCTAATATTATGAAGAGAGATCGGACTTATATTCGACATCGTTATACTGCGATTAAACGCCATATGTGTAAAGGCACCAAATTAACAAGTATTCCACGAAAATACTGTGAGTCCAAATGTAATGATGAACACAATGATGATTGGAATGTCAAAATAATAAATGAGCAAGAGTTAAATACCAGTATAGATATTCAGTTAATAAAATACTTTCAAAGTATACAAGCTGCTAAGGCTAAACCAGGTCGTAAATCAACATACCATACTGCTGATCAACTCGAGACTTATACCAAAAAATTATATAATATTTTTGAAAAATTAAACACTAAAATTATTATCCCTGATAATATAAATAGTTTTAATATTAGTACAAAAGATAAAGAATTATTAATATCTTTCAAAAAGTATTGTATTGAAAAATTAACTTTATCATCGAAAATTATTGAACAATATCGTCAAAAAATGTTTGGTGATATTAATTTAAATGATGAATCAGAACATTTTATTCCACCTGCTCCATTTGGTCTATTTCAAAATCGAGTTAGTAGATCTTCATCTAATAACACAAAAACTAATCTCATAAGTAATACTTGTCATGTTGATCTAACAATGGATTTTCAAACTCCTGATAATGTTGTTAAATTTTTAACAGCTGAAGAAATAATTCATTTCAATAAATTACAATCATTTATTGGAACAAAATTTCATTTATATTCTAAAAGTTTCGACAAAATACATTTCCAACCGGTCGAAAATCTGAAAAAGACTAATAATACAAGATTAGATCCATTTAATCAAGAAGCTGAAGTGTCCATTGACTATCCAGATGATGATAATAATCGAGAAAAAAATGTTTTTATTGAACCATGTCATTCAACTTTAATTGGATATCAAAGTTTATTAATAATAAAAAATTTGTTATTGTCTGAAACAAATATAAAAAATGATGATTTAACATTTAATAGAACAAAACTTACTAATAAAGGTAGAGAAGCATTTACGTTACTAAAACTTCGTCTTCAACGTTTGTTCAAATATCCAGTAATAATAGCACGTTTATCACCAAATAACTATATTGAAAAAATTTCACATCATAGTGACATCAATAACATTTTTAATTATGTACATGATGAAACTTTATCATATTCAAACGAACCTGTAATGGAAAATAATTCTAAAAAAAACAATTATGTAACATTAAATAATGAAGAGAAATTGCCAGATACTGAATATGAAATAGAATATAATCCTACATCAAAATTTAGTTCTGAAAAATTTTTTCATGATAATATACCATTAGTAACTAACAACTTATCCAACTGCGAAAAATTACATCTTGTATCTGTAAACTTTGAAAATACGAAACAGGAGCAGGAAAATTAAAGATTTGTGTTGTTGATGTTTTATGTTAAAAAAATGGTTTGTATTTGAATTTTTATTTTAATAAAGTTCAATTTTTTATAATTGTAAAAATCATTGTTTATTTTATTGAATGTTGCCCTTATTTCAATCAAAGTTTCAATATGAAATGAATATGCATTCAAAAATACAACTAATTTCTATTTTTAATTACGTTTTGTAAAATGGTATCTAATTATTATAAATATTTCTAGAATTTACAATTTTGGATATTAATAGTTTATAACATAGAGTATTAATAAAATAAAATAAAATTGCAGTATTTGATGAATACAGAAACATATAAAATAAACAAAGGTAAAAAAAATATTTGACTTTAATGGTGAGGAATACAAAATTTCTTCTGATAATTAATTTTTACTGAGTATATCAGAGTTTCAATATGTGCAGAAAAATATGGTTATTAACAAATATTATCGACTTCTCGAATGTATATTGCTGCGAGTTATTATTATTGCACATCCAGCTGTAAACATACTCCACAAAACTAAACTTGGTTCAATTTTTCTCGTAATAAGTCGAATACTGTCAAGAATGTTTTTCAATGATTGATTTGTTAATTCAATGGATTCCTCATCTTGAAAAATATTTAATTTTTTAAGATACTCCAGCAATGGTGGATGATCACAACTAAAAATTGGGAAATATTCGCCAACTTTTTCTCTCCTCCACCAACTTTGATCATTTGATCTAGTAAAATACGATATTATATTTAATTAATAAATGAATATGAAATATTATAAAAAAGATATGTATTTATGTATAAAAATATATAATTACGTTTTGGTCCATGGTGCAAAATGATAATGATATAAACTACCTCGTATATATTTTGGTGGATTATTACTAAATGGTTTTTCTATATCGTTCAACAAAGCGAGTACTTCTTTTTGTCCGGTTAGTAATCGATATGCAAGTGACATAATCCATGGATTTTTATGATACGTTTCAAGAGCAGCAAACCACATTTGCCAATCCAAACGCGGTGAATGAGGTGCTATTTTAAATTGAAACATTAAATAGCAATTAAAAATTTTTTGCCATTTATGTTAATGACATTTTAATATAAAAACTTTCATATAAATTATATAGATTCAAAATTTTATTAATATTTTGATTCATAAAATTAAAAATGTTAATTTGAAATAAGAAAAAATGTAAACAAATTCATAGTTAGATCAACATTTGATTAAAAATAAATTATTTACCAACAAAGGGTAGAGAATTATTAACATTTCCTGGTTTGTAAATAAATTCGTATTCTTTCCATGGGCCATCAATACTATTACTTCCTTCAATGATAATTTCTGGACGTCCATTAACTCCAGTCATGCGTTGGAAAAGACCATACCCATTGATGACATGAAGATGATCAATTTTTGAATAAGTTTGTTTGATTTGCGCAGGAATAGTAGAATTAAGAGATGGGTGTAAAGTTGAGAACGGTACCTTTGAAATAATAATAATAATAATAATAATAATAATAATAATAATAATAAATTCATTAACAATAATCAATAATCATAGATCGGAGAACATATAAAAGTAATAAAGTTGTCAAAAATACCAATCACACTTAAAATATTTGCAAAGTAATATATTTAATTTATTCAACATCATGAAAATTAAATTAAATAATAAAAAACAAATAGAGTTTATTTTAAATTAAGAAGATATAATATTAACAATACTACCATTTTTTATACTTACTAGACTCATAACAAATATAAAGCATACTGCGAAAGTAGAAAATAATGTAGAAATAAAAGTAATAATTTTTTTAATTGTGAATTTAGTCGACAAAATAGAATGGGTTATTGCATCAGCTACTGTAAATCCTAAAGAAATTAAACCAATTAAAAAGGAAATTATAACAGCGTTCGGCAGAAAATGGTCGAAATCTTTTTGTGTAAATCCTAGAAAGTTTATAAAAAAAGTCTTAGTATTACAGTTATTGTTTGATAACAATAATAATTAAAATGTATTACCAATTTCCGTATGAATAGTCCAATTTTTAAGCAAACGAATTTTATAAAAAATAATAATACCATAAATAATTCCAGAGTAGACGCAAATGCAAATCAATATTGAAAGAAAATTATAAAAGACTGAATTTTCATTTTTGGATTTTTTTTTATAAAAAAATTGATCATCCAATAATCCCAATGATAAACAGATTATTAGAAAATCTCTAAAACCCCAATTGCCTGTCGCAATTATGTGGATTTGTATATACATCTGTAACAAAAAAATCAATTCTCATATATCATTTCATAATACAATTCAATTATTTTCAAGTATATACCTGTAAATAGAATGTAATTATCCTAACTTTTTTATTTGGAAAAAAATACAAAAATGGTACAATTAATTCAAACACAATGCTTAATGCAGTGTTTAAACGTAAGTACCATGTTGGAAGATGATGAGCGTACCATGCTAATGAACCAGGTAGACACTGTGTCTCAAAATGATGTGATAGAGCTGAAAAATTTATCAATTAATTGAATAGTTTTAAAATTCATTTCTATTATAGGAAATTACTTGAAATTACCATTAAGATTCCACCAAATTGGACACCATGAAATAAGTTTCACAGAACCGTTTGAGAACATAAATCGAAATAAAAGCCAACGTAAAGTCCAAAATGTAATTGTATCGCTTGGATGATTTGTTTTTTCGGTTGATGTAATTAAAGGTGCTATGAGTACACACAAAAATCCGCTTTCCAATAAAAATGTGTCCCTTATGCCATGAAATTGATTATTATGTCAATCATGTCATAAGTTTTTATTCATTTTGAAATAAAACAAAATAAAAACTGTATGTTTGCATATTACACATGACATCTACTATAACCTCGAAAATAGTTTCAATTTCTTAATGATATTACAATTGATGATTAAAAAACGTACATGTGTTATTGTAATAAATACACAAAAAAACAATGTCATAAGAATTGTATTTAATCTTACCATTGATATAGTACAAATACTTGACCGATTTGATGTAGAGAATAATATAGTGACCATAAAATAACGAATACTAGCGAATTACAGAATTGTTGAGAAATAAAGCTGTAAAGTTTTATAATAGTAATCATTATTGAACAATCAAGATCTCAATTGTATATAAATTTATTAAATACTTAATTAATTTTTTCTTACCCTAAAAAAGAAATCACTATACCACATAATGCAATAATATCAAGCATGTATTCATAGTTTAATCCTATGTGTGGAGCAAACCATAATAATGTTGGTTTTCGGTATAATTTTTGCCATAGATTTGAATTTCCTTTAAATTCTAATTGAGTTCTAACCGGCAGTAATCCATTATTACCGTAAAGTCCTAATATTTGAAAAAAAATTAAATTATTCATTACTATATTATTCAACACAATTTTAAGAAAATTTTTTTAATACTGTAGAATTAGTATTTTATTTCAGAAAATTTTTTTACATCTAAATATTCATTCAGCTTACCTGGAATTTGGAGATAAAAACTTAAAAAAGCGAATAAGTAAATAATGCACATTCCACGCAAAAAAAGATTGCGAGTGTATCTTACTGTAATCATTTTTTTAACTGTGACCACATGTATGTTCTCGATTACAAAGATAAGTATGACAATCGAAATTTACTTTTATTCACCGAAAATGGAAAAATTAAAATTTAATCCGTGTGATGTGTGAATATTAAACTTGATTGAGATATAATTTTGTCCGCTTATTCGTGGACTACCATACAGCATGAAGACTAGAAACACAATTCGAATACTACAAGAATACAAATCCATGACATATGATCGGTATATAACTTCAGGTTTGAGAAAAGAGGGTGGGGGATGAGTTTGCTCGCCAACTTCCCGAACTCGCTAGCCGTCTTATTTATCAGAAAGGAAACAGCTGTTCCCTCTCTGATAAGTGAGACGGAGATGTACACTCGGCGTCATTAAGGCTGGGCAGAAGCAGAGAAGAGAGACGTAAATAGAATCACAATGCCGTGTTCCATTTGGGGATCACCCCAGATCACCCCAAACCACAAAGTTATCACCCCAACTGCCAGACGGCGATACTGTACATGTAAGCTTCTGTACCCTAAAACCAGGTGGCGACAGTGTTCTTGGGGGTGCCATAGAGTGTCCCGAATGCCAGAAATGTCTACGGCATCATTGTTAACAAAAATGAAATCCCCTAGCGTTTAAAATATACACTAACTATTATGAAAGATTTTTCTTCTACACTTTACATTCGATAAAAAGTATGAAAGTAAAAAATTTCATTTTGTCCAATTCTTACGATAAATAATTGATTGTAATTTAATAAATTAAAAAAAATATATCTTGAATAAATTAGTTATAAATTAATTTTTTTAATGAAAATGATTCATTTTGTCCACATGGCATACACTAGCGCTCCTTTTAACATCTACTGCCGGTAAACTAGATTTCGTAAGGTAAGTCAAATACCAACATAAAAAAACTACAAATTATTCTAAACATATTACATAGCAATTTTCTATTTTATTACTTGAATAATTACAAAAATAAATTTAAGACGTTTGGTTGAATTTTAAAAAGAAGAAAACATCTTAAAAATCTAGAAAATATTATTAGAATTACATATTTTTATTTTTTAATCCACTTAATACATGTTAATTATTAATTTTAACTAATTTGTAAGAATATTGTTTAAAGACATTACCATTTTTAATTAACAATAAAATTGTTTTTTTAATGTCAAATTTCTAGAACGTTTTAAAATCAAAGAAATTTATAAGAACTTTAAGAAACTTAAAAGAAAAATTTACTAAACCTTTAAATTTTTTAAATGATAAACTGATAAGTGAGAAAAATTAAATGTTTGTCTTAAAAATTCCAAAAGTAGACCAACTAAAAAAACAAATTCTCTGGAGTACTTCTCCACAAATTGAGAATTTCAAAACATGTTTTATAATTCTCATGTTCAAAATGACACTTTTTATTCAGAAAAACAAATTATAGAATTAATTAAGTCGATCAATGTGTTGTGGAACAGCTCTACAGATAGGACACACTAATGCTTGCTCATCTAGTTCTGCCAAAGCCTCCAGTATCTCCTGTTTTCTGATCCTTATTATTTTTAATCAACAATAAAAATAGTATTTTCGATATTTAATTCCTGGAACACCTCCAAATTAGAGAAATCATTTAAACTTTGAGCTGTATATTAAAAAAGAATGATAAACATTTTTATTTTTTTTTCCTATTATTCATAGCACGATATTATACATTGAATTACCAATATCATTACCGTTATTCTGTGATATTATTTGCACGTTTGTAAGTCCATCACCGATTTGTTTTTTGGAGAATGATTTCAATTCATGACTTGCATAAGCCACAAATTGTATCGAATTTATTATCTGTTTTTCATATAAGTTCCATAATTTTCTTAATTGATTATTAAAAATTATGTTCTCATCTCTCCTTGCTCGTTTAACATCATTACCTATTATTAAAGTCTGATATTCCAACAATATCGTTTGCGAATGATCTTTCATATGTTCTGAAAAACATAAAATAATTTCAAATAGCATGTACTTAAATAATTTAATCATCAAAAGAAAAATTATACATAAATCCACTATTGTGACTTTTTTTTAGAAATTTTTACTCCATACCTGTAAAGGTCCATATCGATGGATGCTCTCCAAGGTTCTGTTGAAGAATCCTATTATATGATTCTGCATAATTGTTTGTTCTTATATCGATACCATATACACTGAATCGATCAGGCTGTATTCTATTTATCCACTGTCGTTCATAATATTTGATAAATTTTTCAAAAAGTTTTTTTATAGATTCTGGTATGTTATTAATTAACCACTGAAAAGTTTCTTCAATCTTATCAGCTGGTAATAATGCCAACGCAAAGAATTTTTTTGATAATATCCGTCCTATTTTCCATCGCTGGATGAGAGGTAATAACTGAAGTTTTTTCCACTTTTTCATTAGCCTCCAGTATCTCCAGGCAATTCCAACAATAAACTTTATGTCCACAAGGTTGCATTATGTATTCAATTCTGTTCGATGAGCATGCAACGCATTCGTTGTTTTCTTGATTTTCTATAAGAAAAAATATTCATTGAATTAAAAACAAATTATTTTCTTTAAACATATATCCTTTTCATCATCAAAAGTCATGCCAATATCAGTGAAAACTAATATAGAACCTTCTAAATTTGTAAAGAAAGTAAATACCAGGATTTAGAAGAAAAAGCAATGTCAAAGTATTGAAGGAGTAAGAAGAATGACAGTATTGAGCAAGAAATAGTAGTGTAGTCAATGATGAAGCGTTTAAGCCTGTGAAAAAAGTATATATTTGGAGAAATCATGAAAAACACTCATAACTGACTTGTATTTTTTACTATTGTAAAATTATTATTATAATGTAATAAAAAATCTTACCATGTCTGATCTCATTTTGTCTTGGGAGATTTTCTAATAATATTTCGTTAAACACATTATTTTCATTATAAGATATCTCTGGAAGATTTTCATTTAAATCTACTAATTTTACTAAAGAGAAGTCTGAATAAAGTGTTAACCCATTGAATAATATATCTTGTACAATTGGATCGATCAAATTTGATGCAACTGCTAAAAATGTGTTTGTATCTATTAAATTGTTATCAAGTCTTCTCCATAATTCTCTTAAATCAGTTGATTTAGGACAACAGGTTAAAGATGGTGCAGATATATATCTGTTTTCTCCTCTTTCTGTACGATCAAGATCTCGATGAGTTGATTGCATCCATTTAACAATCATTCCACAGAACTTCCAAATATCAGATGATTCATTACAATTCGCAGTTATTTTCTTCCAATGTTTATGGGCGATGTCCGAGAAAGCCTCAATCTCTTGATAAAAAGAAATGTTGTTCACTCCAACGGAACTGATCCAATTGGAATAATAGTATTTCACGAAATCTAGAAATCCATTATTCAGTATGACCTCAGGTATAGAACTGTACAAATCGATAAATACACGATTTATCTGATTTGCAGGTAATAAGCTCAAGTCTATGAACTTTTTCAATATAATTAAATGATGAGGATTTGTTACATTTATTCCTTGAATATTGTCGGCATAATCCAGTAATATCTGCACATAAAAATGATAACCTTATTATTGTTAATCTAAGAATAAACGAAAAAGGAACGTTTATTACATTTTAAGAAAGATTGAATTATTCGAGAGTGATATACATACCATACAATAAGAAATAAATAGTCCTCGAATTTGAGCCTTGGGAAAATTTGTAGACAATTCATTGTACAATTTTTTATCGAAATTATAAAATACTCGATCAATGGTTATATTATTTGTGAAAAAATTTTCTGAAATATTTGTAGTAATTTCTTGGCATGATACATTATGGGTTTTTTTAATTAGATTCCAACCTATTTGGAAGCTCTGTAAATTAAAAATTCATTAATTTTAAATAAGATATATCACCTTTCTTCGAAGATTAACCATTGCTGGTAAGAACTTACGTGATTTCTGAATGAAATAGTCCATGCAACAAGTTTGGAAAGATCCATATTCGTAGGAATCAATTTTTGAGTCATGTCCACATAGAGATTAGTCCTGATATTGCGTAGTTTGTGGAGTACGCCAGCATCAGTGAAAACAACAGCAATTATATGTTGATATGATCGAAACGAGCTTAAAAATTCTACCATAATGTTCCCTCTATTATGCATAAATAATTTACTGTAACGCTGTCTTTGCACAATGGCGCGAAATGTGAGTAATGATGGTGGTTGAGCTAGAATTCTCTCTTGTCGCCATCGAGTCATAGACGATTGAATTTTATGGAATGGTACTAATGCTGATGCTTCTCGATTCCTTAAAAACATATCAAAAATCAAATTTGTGTTAAAAAATAATTAAAGATAGCAGTTAACTAAAACTTTGAACAAGTTTTTTTGTAAATTTAAAAAATAATGTTTTAATGATTTCGTTACCATTTGATCCTTTATTTTTTTTATAAATCTAACAACTCTAAAGTTATTAAAAAACAAATTAATTAAATAGTGAAACTCTCATTTCAACGTTTTAGCTAAATTGCTGCTTTATTTATGATACTTAATTAGTCTAAATAAGTATAAATATTTCATGTTAAAACTTTAACGTTATTTTGATTAAAAATATTTTAGAAAAACTTACAGACTGGCGATTTCATTGTAAATATTTCGGATGTTGGTTAGTCTTCTAACACAAGCTTGATGTAATTGTTGACGAAAGTTCGAGATTAATTCCAAATTGCTTTGCTGAGGATGATTGTGTTCTTTTATAAGAATACAATGATTGTTTATATCTTTGCACTGGCCCCGACAATTCTCTCTTTGATAGAGACTACATCGCTAAAATCTGAAATAATATGAGATGATTATCAAAGAGTAAAATAGAGTAAATAGATCGATAAATGGACATCATCCTGAAGATGGACACATTTTTTAAACATTTTAATGTTTCAATGTATTTTTTATCCTTTAACGAAGATCTTATTAATTGAAAACTGTGAAATGCTTAACGTAAACATTTTTTTTATCTATTTATAATAATTTTGTGTCCATCTCCTGGACTTAATTGCCCATTTTTTCATGTGTTTACCCTACATTTTTTTTAAAAAGACAAAAAATATTAAGAAGAATTAGCTAGTTTCCCATACAGGCAAAACGGAAATGAAAGCAAACATACAAAATTAATAGATATTAAATAATTGTGAAATACTTACATAGCATTATCCGTTTGTCGATATCTTACGTATGAATATCCATTGTGAATTTTTCTAATAGGGATTTCACGCCGTGATAACATTTTAAAAATAATGAAAAAGTGATTATGAAACTTATTTTTCTTATTGATTATTTACTTTTTCTTGTATCGCGTCCACCAATTTGCCGTAATAATGCCGATCCACCGAACACACTTTTCAGAAAAACAACTGACGAACGATAGTTTGAAACGCTTATTGTTGAATGTGTACAATACATTTCAAAAATATCTATTCACTGCTGATATGTTGTAGGCTAAGTATACTGATCAACACAATGGATAGATCGAAAAGAAAGACGGTTCAGAAATCTAATTTATGGTGTACACTGTATGTCATCTATATCGTGGAATTTTTAGGTCCACCTCCTTTCTACTGACCCATGAGAAGCTATCTTTCTTGGCTTTAGGAATTAACGCCACGTGACCTTGCTAACTGCCGTTTGATTTTGATCTGTTACCAATTTATTAGCGAGAGAAACAATTACATAGAATTTATTATACAGTGCTTGTAAAACATCGTGGAGGTTTTTACGTGATAGCTTGTGTAAATAATCAATGTGCTTCGATTTCATTAAGTGATATGCCGAAAATTACATCATTTGCTCATGGACCAAAAAATTCTATTTGTGAGAAGTTGGAAAACAAAATATTCAATGGCTATTGCTATGTTTATTCGAAAGGAGTTGGATCAACAAAGTAAGTGATAATATATTTTTCTTACTTCTTTTTAAAAATGATTTTATTCTTTTCAATTTAAATGAATTCAAAATTAATGAATTGCAGATACGTTGTCTGCAGAGAAAAAACAAATTCATATTGTCCGGGTAGAGGGAAGATTGTAAATGGTTAGTTTTTTATGTTAACTGACCATAATCATGTCCAGGTTAAATCAGTTGATGCTACATATGCATTTAAGAAGGCATTATATACTGCAATCATAAACAACAGGTTGAAATCTGTCAAGTCTGTTTACAATGAAATTAGTTTGCTGTGAGAATGAATTTTCCGATGTATATGTACACATTAAATTTTCATTTTAATATACAAATGTATTTACACAGATATTATATATTTTTAGACATCCTGAAGCAGCTACTATAAAAACATGGAAAATTATGGAACCCAGAATGCGTCGTTGGCGAACTCAAGTTCAACCTCCAATACCACAGAATCTCCAACAATATCAAAAGATTTTAGATGATCCTCGCTGGATATTTCTTAGAAAAAACTATGATAAAACAAGTCTGATGCACGTGTCAACTTCAGAATGTAAAGACAAATCTTATGTGACGATTTTTGGTAACAGGACGTTATTACAAATAATTGAAACACCGCAGCTTTCTATGGATGCTACATTTAAAATTGTGCCAAAAAAACCACAAGCCCTTCAGTTCTTTACGATTTTAGCATTAGTAAATAATACTGTAAGTGTTATTACTTTTGAATTAAAAAACAATAGGTGTTCTAATATAAAAATGTGGAATACATTCAAATTTTGGTATTTCAGGCTGTTCTGACTTTGAGTCGGCTGAGTGAGAAGTCGGGACTTTGTGGACTGTATTTTTTAGGATGTTTGGATGCTAGAACAGTCGGGACTTTTGAACGGTGTAAATGAGTTGGCTGACACTATTTAACAGTAACAGTTAACGATTTATTAAACACTAAAATCACAGTAACAGAAAAATAACAATAAAAGAGTCTTTGAATTGTCTGTACAGTCTTGAGTTTACGGAAATTTCACACAGGGTTCACAGATGAGTTGACTGATGAGTAGAGGATCACAGGAAAGTTGTAAGTTTTCCTGTACTGGTCTCTGCACCAGGAGTAGCCTGATTTTTTTGAGTAGTCTGAGTTTCATTGTGTTGGCGTCAGCCACACAGACACAAGCGAGTTGTTGGTGTATGGATCTTGTGTGTGTGTCTGTCCATGAGGCCGTGAGGCGTCGAAGCCGACATCATTCGCGCCTTTTGCAAGAAGGTGCTGATGCGGACCAACATGAGCTTCCTGAGGATGTCTTCTAAGAGGTAGACTGCCTGATGAGTTCATAATCATCACTATAGATGATTAACTGGTGAGTTAGTCCATGTCTGAGGAGTTGTCTGGGTTTTCACTAGAGAGTTCGACTGCGTGAGCTCTCTGCTAGTACACACGTACCGAGTTGACTGTTACAACGAGTTGTCTGTAGATCTGCATCGTCCGATGATGCCCAAGAGTCGTCCGAGTACGAGCTACGTACGAATACTCGTAGTAACCGGCGAATACTGACTAATACATACCGTTTTTCCCGAAAACTCTGCGTTCTCAAAGCTTCTAGGCCCTTAGAGAAGGGATGTATATGCCTAGGAATTAATTAGAGTTGTCTAATTGACGAAAATGAGTTGGCAGAAGGACCTTGAGTCATCTAATTATTCGGTGGGGAGAAAAATGTTAGGCCGTCGATAGAGTACCTTAGACCAAGTCAGAACAACCTTCAAATTGTATGAACTTTGACTTACCGTATTGCTTTAAAAGTCATTCTACAGCAACAGTTATCTCATTTTCATTTGTTTCTTTTAGTTTTCTCCTTAAATTTTGCAAATCCTTCAGAGCAACTTTCTCTTCCAAAGTTTTCAGAATTCGAATTTGTATAAGTTTCAGATTGCCTCCTAACTGTATCCATTTTTTAACAAATTCTTCTTGTTTATTAGATAATCTCCTTTTCTCTGACAACAACTCGTAAAAATCCTATGAAGATAACATAGATAAGTAAAGAAGTTTCATTGTGTTATCGATGTTAAAAGTTAAATGTATTTGATTTTTTTGTGTACTTATTGAAATTTGTATTAAAAATTATTATACTGATAGAGAAATAAAAAGACATAAATTGGTAGTTTCACTCTAAAAAATATTACTTACTTTCAAGGATAAATGCTTCTCGTGGCTTAAATTCATTGAAACAATCTTGATCTTCTGTTTTCCTCAATTTTATAAAGACCGGACAACCAATTTTGTAAGAGCTGTAAAATTATCAAGTATAAGTAATATTACTTACACTAACTAATTGTAGCTAAAAATCAATTTAAATAATGTTTTATAAGTTATTGAAAATAATTAGAAAAATTTAAATACATGCAGGGTACATTGTAGAACAATTGTTTCTGAAACTTTTTGATTAAAACTTGTGATCATACCACTATGTATTTGCGATTATAATTATTATTGGATTGTAATTCTTTGAATGTAGACTCAATATGTATCCACTGATTGAAAAAAAAAAATAAATCTCAAATACCTGTGATTACGACTGCCTGCAGATTTAGATTCACGCATCCGGCAAAATTTAAAATTAAATTGAACTATTCTATACACCAGTTTTTCTGCAACGTCTCGGTTTTTAGTTGACTTTTTTCAATTTTGAACAATCTTTTCTTGTGAATACAGACTTCAATTTATCTTCGTAATCGATTAAAAAGTCAACAAAACTTTGATAACTATCGAATGTTTGACGAACAAAAGGAATCGCATCCTTTTTTTCAACCATGATGTATATCAAATGAATTATAACGGTTATATTGCATTTCAGTTAGCGCTAAGTAGTGATAAGAGTAACTAATGCCACTAACAGTTCACAATTGAACTTACAACAGCCAATAAAAGGATGTCTTTTGTTGTATAGTAATGGAATGTATGTATATGCGTATGAGTGTATGCGTGCGCATTATTATGATATGAACGCCATCTCAAGAAAGAAATTAACAAATTTATTGTCAAATTATAAGTATATATGCAACTTTTTTTTACTTATTAAGTTTTCACGCATTCTCATTCTGATTTCAAACATAAAAAAGAGAAGAAAATAAGTTCGTCATAGTTATATGTTTAACGTCCGCATTATTTTACAAGGAATTTCAATATTAACTAAAATAAATAACAAATATGAGTAAAGTTTCTTTTGAATGAAAATCTTTTAAAACGTACAATGAGTTGATAAAATTCAAAAAGTTATATGAAAATTATCATAACTTTGGTGGTATTCTTAGTACTTTTCAAGGAAATATAAAAATAAATTGAAATAAATTAACTGAAATCTGGAGACGCACTATTTAGCTGATTGTTGGGAGATCCTTTGGAGGCTGGGATTCGGGGTTACTAAGAAACTTGGGAAAAAAGCGCAGGAATGTTTCTGCTGTTGGATCCAAGGGAATAAGATAGGAATGGGTTTTCTATGGGTGTGCTCGGTTTTCAGACTTTTTATGCTACAAAGAATGAATCTCCAACCAGCCTTTTTTATTTCAGTAAATGTAAGGTAAATAATGTATCTTATGTTACCAGAGATTGATGAGGTTATTGCTTCGAGTATGTTCTTGTATGACCTTGAGTTATCTATTTTTCTGGATTGAGCTATGAGAATATAGTTAGTATTTCTCACCTACCTTTCGATGATAGTCAGCTTATTCTCTGGTATAGCTTCGTTCGAATGAGTAAATTAGCAACAAAATTAATCGACAATTATTAGTGCGAGAGATATTCTTGGACAACCAGCGTGCCGAGTAACGACGACGAGAATTCACAGTAATGCAGATGACTTGGACAATTTGCCCTTGGAAATGTAGAATCACGTCTTCCTCGAAATATCTCCTACCCTGTAAAGGCATGCAAATAGGATACGCAAGGGATACTACTGGGATAATTTCTCCACACGTTAATTGAAATAGAATTGACTTTTTATTATAAAGTTAATCTTCTAACAATAGAACGTAGGGTTATCCCCCCGCGTCCTGAAGTAAGCTGTATAGTACCTATTTGTACTTTACAGAATTTATATAGAAATAAACGAGTCGATGATCCGGGTACGGGACGGCAAGCTATACAATTATTTGATCTACAATAAAATGATATTAATTATGTGGAATCGGACAGGCGTTACAATTTGTGTTTTCGCAGCTTCTCGCGGACTCACCCAAATACCCTTGAAAGATGAGGAGAATTATGGGTGAGCTCACCAGCGAGTGTCGTCCTCCGGTGTAGATCTTGTAGACTTGTCCTTGCCGGGACTGCAGGTCTGGCATTATATGTTGATGAGAGTCCTGGAGAACCGCCGTGACTACCCGGCGTCCCTCGAAGGTTTCAGCGGCTCGTGCAGAGTCTCTCCTGGCGTCCTGGATGCAGAATCAGCTCAGACATTTTACAAACTTCACTTTACTTTAATGCCAATGAGAGACATATTTTTGGTAAAATTTGCAGAAAAAAAGTAAACGGGTGTCCATTTCGAGTTATCATCAGGTTTTGCATTGACACGAATGAACTGCAATTTAGGGGCATATACACACGGTAAATATTTATACTGAAAAGAAATGCATAAATATTTTGACATAATTATCAATGGATAGTTATTATTTGACTTACAGGCTTTTTTTTACTATTATCCATTGTACGTTCAATTTAATCGAAAAAGAATTTAGATTCTTTCATCAAATTAAATTATTATAAGCTATTTTCGAATTAAATAATATGTTAATGGTATTATACAAAATTATTTTAGCTAGAAATGTCGTCATTCTATGAAGTAAAGTATCTTCCCATCACCTAGATTTCCTTTTAATTGTAAACTAGTTGACTTTTAAAAAATTACATGCTCAAAATATACATGAATAATTAAAATGTCACAGTTTCTATTATTTTAATGTGTCGATATATAACATAAATATCTGATCATTAAATGTTAAATTGGAATTTAATACATTTAAAGGTAACTTCACTTGACAAAAGCAGCAATCATCATTCTATAAACATAGAAAACAGCAAACTTCAAAAAGATTATTTCTCGAAGATAGTAAATGAGTTAAAAAATGCCATTTTAAAGATAAAAAACCATGAAGCCAGACAAAATTATTTGAATATATAGAAGAGATACTTTTAAAAATCAAATGATCAGAAAATAATAATGATCATGATATTAATATTAATAAAAATAATAAAGAGTTTTTAGCAGAGAAAAGCGATGATAGTTTACATTTTTTAGATTTAATATTAGAATCTGTATACTCGGCATCTAATGAGATTAACGAGAAAAAAGAAGGAAAAAACGTCATAGCGGAGAAAAACAAACAAGACATAAATAAAATACTCACAAAACAAAACGAAGAAGAAAGTGAAAATTGTATACTGTTACGTTCTGACTGATCATCTTGGAATTAACAAAGATTCCGAGTTTTAGTGAGCTTTTACAAAAATAAAATTAAACAGGGAATCGATTTATAATATAATTCACTTGTAGACTTGGCTTAACGGTTGTGAAGCTGCCGATAATACAGCGCTCTCACTTTAAACGCGTTAAAAACCGCGAAAATTTAAATAGGCAAAATCTGAAGAATTTACGTGACATAGGAAAATATCATACACATAGAAAACAAAGAAGAAAGAAAAAAAGGAAAATAAATTAAATACGTTGGAGCTGCTGGGTTGCTCATGTTTGCAAGGAAAACCCAAAAGAGAGGGAAAAAAAATCAAACTGTTCCCAAAAAAAATGTCATTGGGGAAAAGTAGTTAGAAAGCTATTGTGAGTTTTTGGGAATCACCAAAATCACTTTGAATTCCAATAGCACTTCGTCACTAAAAATGGTGATCCTTTTCTCGATGGGTGAAGTGATCTTAGGTGGCTCCTCCGGGAATATGGTAGATAGCTGGGAGAGTCCTTTGTAGTGATCTTTGATGATCTTGCGCATCTGCACCCTCCAGCCTGCTTTCATTCCTCGCCTCTTTGACTTAGGCTTGAAGGCTACCCATTGTTCGAACACTTCACAAAAATCAAGTTTTCCAAAAACAAACACCCAAAACTGTGCACAATAATCTAAAAAAAATAAGGGCACACTCTAAATTTCCGCTAATGAAACTGGTCACTCACACGATACTAAAAGTACGTAGAAATGTAAAAATTCGCGCACTTGTGAAATAAAAAAATTCGAATGTGAGGAAAAAAAAGGTCAAAGGAGACAAGTAGAGTCTGGGAAAATGGAGTAAAGGGAACGTTTCCGCTTTGGAATGTCATTTGCACGTGTTATACTAACTGCGCCTCAGTCATTTAGGTGTAGGGAAATGAGGATATTACTAAAGGAAAGGGAAAACAAAAATGATAAATATAGTGAATGGAAAAGAAATAAAATGATCAGGTATTTCAAAGAGTATTATTATTGTGAATCTTAAATGAATTTACATATTTCACAAGGAGTGCCAAGATCACTCTTTGAGATTTGCGGATCAACTGAAGAGAAAGATCACGTCAGCGACGACGACGGCTCGGAAGCTCAGCGCTCGACGTTGCTGTATCCATGGAGATACAGGTGCAACGTCAGGAGTTTTCAGGCAAACTTGACAACGTCGAGCCTTTTGGGCCTTATCGCTGACGTCGGCTTTCTACTTGCACATAAGATTTTTTTTAGAAGATCAAATTGTTTTCTTTATTATGTATGATTTTCAGGTTTTCATGGATTTTCAGGCGCTGCGGTCCAAATACAGGTGTGCCGCCGCGGCCACCTGACTTATTTTATAAGATTAATTAGATGATAATATTTTTAATATTTTACGTATCATTAATTATTTAGAATTTAGTCTTGGGAACGTCCGGTTAACAAATCCCACATCTCGCTTGATTTAAACTTTTGCCTCATGTTGCGTGGGAACGCGCATCAGTTGATGGACGTGTATGTGTAGATATACACATGCGTTTATTTACGTATTCTTATTTAAGAATTTTAAAGTATAAAATTTAGGGGAATTTTGGGTCCTAAGTGATAGAGACCCCTTTGAGGAACATACCTACCTATCGGCAGGTAAATAGTTAATATTTATCGAATTATTTAGTAATTAAAGTCACTCTCCTTTTCGCGAAGTATTAGGAAAGCATGAACGCGAGAAGGTATTGTTAGCCGTGCGCCCCACTTTACCAGCCTCAAGGCCCCCGTTTGTCCCGCTACGCTAGCGGCGACGAGTGACCTTGCCGCTTGGCAACTTTAATCCTTATTTATTCAAAAGCTATTAATTGTGTAGAAGTTTTATAAAAACAGTAAATTTGGCCTTAATAGCATGAATAATTTTTATTAGCAAAATCCCTGGGTTCTCAAAGAATCAATTTAGTGATTAATTAAAATTATAAGGATAAATCGCTAGACACTAGTTTTCGCCTGCTGCACGTACATGTGCGTTGGACTTGGTTGTGGTAGTAAAAATGTATGTTAGGAGTTATAAATGTAGTTATATATTTATTTTCTTTAATCTAAAACTAGAGTGAAGTCCGTCAGGACCTAACATATACCAAGAATAGAGATATGCAATTTGACTGAAATACAAGAGCATAGAATACAACCACATACACAGATTGAAAATTTAAGATTCGATATCACTTCTACACATGTACGTGGAGAGAGAAAAGAGCTTACTGTTATAGGACTTTAACAAAAAATAAAATAGAAACATCGCAGCTAAACATCCGAAAACATCAGAAAGAATACATAGAAAAGAATCTCAAGACAAATACGGTTTCTCTTCAAGAAAAACAAAATCTTTCAAAATTACCGTTACCGGACATGCAAGATCATGAGAAAAAATCAAAAGGAAAAGTCCTAACAGGGCAAATTCTTCGAATAAAAAAAATGAACCAGAAAAACTATTACCAGATACAGAGAAAAATCAAAAAGATGGATTTAAATTCGTGAAATTCACAAAGTGAAGCAAATTTGAAAAGCAGTCATTAATGTTAGAATGGATTTTTCCAAAGAATAAAGCAAAAGAAATCGTCAAAAATACAAAGATTATTAATATTAAAGATATTTCACATATAATACCGAAGACTTTAAGTGATAACATCGCAAGTTGTGAGGAATTGGAATTGATTAAACAATTCTTCGATACTTAGGTCTACACGAAAATTAAGAACATGATTAAAATACAAAACTCTAAAAATTTGTTTACTTGCAATAAGTGTAAAAAACAATTGATTACTGAGAGTATTCAATGTAACGGATGTCTACTTTGGTACGAGCAACAATGTGTTTCATTGAAGAAGGTACCAAAAGGTGATTGGTTTTGTGTTTATTGTCTTTAAAAGATTCTACTTCTATTTTTGTTCACATAAAAAATGGCAAAGTATCGCTTTAATTCAATTCTATAGTCAATTTCAATATTTAATGTATCTCAAAATGAAGTGAGACATGTATTGTAGTCCGATTTGAATACGATACTGATCGTTCTAATGTTGGTTTTTTTACATTACTTAGTGATTGGATTTATATATTTTTGATACTTCAGTTCGTAACTCTGTTACAACACTTGATATGTCAGTTTAAACTACTTAAGTTCATTTACAACTATTTATTATTTCAAAGTGGAATATTTTATTCGTTATTAATAATCGATGGATGTATGCTTTGTTTATCTATCTTATCATTTTTTGTTAAATAAATTCTAGATCTATGATACTTTCAAAAGCTGAAAGTTTTCTTTGCGACTTGAAATGTAAAAAAATTATTCGACCATCAGAAGTAGAAGTAAAGCAAGAGTAAATTGCTCTATGTCAACGCCTAATGATTATTACTATTTGTATTCTCTAAAATAAAAGTCCAAAATTGAAAAAAATTCTGAATTTTTTTAGTTCTGAATAGTTGTCTTTTAGCTTTTCCTAAGTCATTTATTTATATAGCACTTTCAAGATGCTTGGAAGTATGATGCTTTAATAACAATAAACTTGGTAGAATTTTTGATAAAGTCTTTGTTGATTTGGCATAAAAAATGATTATAATTCTAAGCATAAAATTGAAATACATACAAAAAATTCATTATTTAATGATTATTATAAGTCTTATAGAGAATATTATATCATAGTTCTCTATTTTTTTGATGACGTTCTAGGATGTGTCAGCAAAACCGAAACCAACATAGATTAGCCCAAAAAATAAATTACAGCAAGGATAAAATACGTAAAATTTTCATGAAATTCAATATAAAAACAAAAAATTTGTTTTACAATTTTAGTTACTACAAGTTAAGAGCAATTGACGAAAAAGAAATGCCGGTTTGTTAATGATAATTATAAAGTTAAAAAAATTAATATTTCAAAAATGAACAATGCTTTTGTATCACATACAACTTAAAATTTTTTAAGAATTGACAGTAAAAATAAAATAATGACAAAAGTTTTAATGAAAAAAAAAATCATTTTTAAAATTAATTATTACGGTCGACTTGTATAAATGGATAAAAAAATTTTAAATTTATTGTTCTTGCTCACGTTGTTTCTTTAACTTTCTTCTACTCTCTTTACATTAATTACTTTGTTGATATTATGTAAATAATGAATAATACAAGTGAGCAAAAAGTGAAACTTACACACACGTACATTTAATGAATAATTCTATTAAGCGA